TGCTTAAAAAAAAAAGTAGGAGGAGTAATGGATGTAGTATGCTCCTATTTGTGTAAAAATGGATACACATACACACAAAAAATAACACGTATGTGGTTTTTTCAAGTGTTATCTTTCAAGAATGTTAGTGTTTGCTCTGTGAAGGTGAGTGGGGGAACTATTGATCTGAGGTTAGGAGGGAGATATATATATATATATATATATATATATATATATGCATCCCTTTATAGTTTTTGAATGTTTTATCAAGTTCAAGTCTATTTTTTCATTAAAAATATTAAAAAGTGAATGTGTGAGAGAAAAAGAAAAAGAGTATGGAGGAGAATGTATGGCTAATTCAAGATCACTGATCCAGAAAGGTCCTTAGTGTACAATCATGGAACTTGTATCACCATCCTTCCTCTCACCTCCACCTAATTAAACTGCTTAGATGGAGCTTTGCAGCCTCTCCCAGAATTTCCCTATGCTCTGCAGTCTCATGAGGCCAACCAGTAAGCACAGTGACACTGGAGGCAGGTGTTGGTCAGTGGAGCCTCGCCTACCCCCACCTGGCCTGGCCTGGGTGTGTCCTGTTAGCAGGTCAGAGTCATCACACACCAGCAATTCAAAAACTACTCGCTGGTGAACTGCAAGAGGTGTTGGGGACAGTGAGGCCTCAGGACATGAAGGATTCCCTAGGAGATGAGGTGCTTATTTGGTTTATTTAACCTAAACAGTACTCTGTTGCCAGCACCACAGTTGTTGAATGAATACATGAATGCTGAATAAGTGAGCAAAATGTACAAATAATTATTCCATAAGCAGCCAATCAACTAGAGGATAGTGGGGGAAGAAATGGGGATTACTCCTCATTCTCTGATATTGAGGGTTGTTTATCAATCCATCTTAGCCTTTAAGGAGGAAAGGATGATGACAAGCATTCATCCACTTCATCCATTCATTATGCATTTCTGGATGCAGATAACACAGGATCTTGGGCCACAGAGAGTCCCAGGAATTGGAGCTTGGCTGCCCAAGCAGTGGCCAAGAACTATGGTTGGTGATAAAAATACTGAATAGCTTTACTAAGGGGTCTCAGAGGCTTTGTGGGCTAGCCTGGGAACTTGACCACACAGTGAGGTGAATAGCAAGGCCTAAAGCACATTGACCTGAGAAATTCATGAACTTCAGGCTCACCAAAGTTCTGACCCCAACCTGTTCCCAAAGACGAGATCCTGGAGAATCTAATTTTAGAATGAGTTTATTTTCCTTTCATGTTTCTGAAGCCAAACTCCTCCAGCTTCAGTTTTCTGCAAGCCAAGTAAGGTGTTCTATTACTAAAATAAAATATTAACACTCCTCCATTTCGCTTCTTCGACAGAAAATTAAGCCAAATGATAAGATTTTCTTAACTTTGAGTTTTTCCTCCCTTGAATGTTTCTTAAACCTTTATCACCAGCTATTGCTTATTGATTCTAGATTTCCATAAAACATAATAGCTATCTGATTTAGCTTAAGTTTAAATATTAGCTATTTTCCTTATCTGTGAAATAAAAGGATAAACTACACATTCAGGGATCTTTTGGATTACCTCTTGTGCTAATACACCACGTTCCACTGCTGTGAGGTTGATAATATGATTTTTGACCAGAATCCTTCGCCTCTGCTCTGGGCAACAAAGCTCCAATTCCCAGGACCCTCTGTGACACAAGATCCTGTGTTATCTGTGCATCCAGAAATGCATCTTTTCCTTTCCTCAAAGAATAAGGACAACTCCAATAAGGAAGAGACTTAAGTTCAACCTGTTCTCTGGCAATTCACAATTCCAGGTGGCAGCTCATTCCACTAAAGAAGAGTTCTATCAGAAAGTTCTTTTTCATATTACATTTCTGAGTGAAAGTCCAGCCCCTTCCAATACCAGATGTTGTTGGCAGTACCCTGCCCTTTCCCCCTCTGCTTTCACTGAGGGATTAGCAAAAAAATGACTGAAAGAAGTCATTTATATTTGGCTTTAGAATGAACTTAGGAACTTCCTTATAGATAGAAGAGTTGCTGGAGAACCTACATCTATCAAAATAATGAAGCTGTGAAGATCAGACAAAGGAGAGAAAGATGGCTGGGCTTCCCCATCTTGAATTCCACTATTCCCTGAATAGTTTTCTAGAAAGAGATGGTTGATCTCCTCTACAATCACCAGCAGAACTACCATTGGTTAGATATTCACTGGAGCAGGTGCATACTTCAATTTTGAAGCACAGAAGTCTTTTCCAATAAATAATAATAATCGCAGCAGGAACATCAGCTAATATCTATTGCACCCTTACAATGGACCTGGCACATTGATAAAATATAAGAATAAGTGGAGGACTTACTATAGGGAAATCTATAAACCTAAAAGTAAGAGAGAGACTGAGAATGATGAGAGAAAAGTGAGAGGTTATGTGCTAAGTCGGAGGCCTTTTGTGCTTTCTCAAGTCTATATTTGAAAATCCTTTTGGAAAGATTTTTCTGAGTTTTGTTTCTGGAGCAATAATGATCTCATGGGTAGCAACACTGCAATTAGCTCATCATTCTTCTTCACTTTAGATGTTGACATTAACTGGGAGCTCTAATGTCAGATTTTGAAACTTTTTTAGATGGCACCAGTGTGTGTGTCTTTAAGAGTACGACCACTCCCACCAGCTCCTCAAGTGAGTAAGCGGTACCACAGTCAGCTCTGGAGGTAAGCTGCACCTTGGCCAAGCAGTGATAGTGAGTTCCCTATTTTACAAATCCCAACTTAAAATGGATTTTCATATAGAAACAAGGTTACAGGAAGTAGCTTAGTTATCAAACTAACCCCAAAAGAATACTTAGCATTCACCAAAAACGGCATTTCAATATTACACAGTCAGTCTCTGGTGTGTGTGTGTGTGTGTGTGTGTGTGTGAAGGGTCATTCAGTTAAAGTAACAAGTCAAAAGGGTAATGCAAAGATAATAATAATATTTTATTTCAGGAACACTCTGGTTTAAACAAGCAAATATTTATTGCATGACTTGGCTACTTAACCTTTTATATAACAGAGAAACAACCCTGACCTTGAGCAGATGGTATATACTTGGCATTTCCACATATGTTCTCCCAATTTAATTCTCACTCAATTGTAAAGAAACTCTGTGAAGGAGGTAGAGTAGAGTTATACCATATGAAGGGGGTGATATTCTAAAATCAATGAGTAAAGTGAAAATTATATAGAGTAAAAATTGGCTTTGAAACCCCCCCAAATTACACAAGAAGATATGCACGGCTTTAATATAATCCTGCACAATAAGTAAAGTTGTATGATACATACAGTAATATGTCATACATTATAAAGGCTTCATATGCAACATATAATTTTAGAGATGAAGTTGCTGGGCTTATTTGTAGGAGACCACATACAAAAATAAGGATCCCTAGTGCCGCAATGGTTAAGCACTCAGCTGCTAACCAAAAGGCTGGTTTAGAACCCACCAGCTGTTCCATGGGAAAAAGATGTGGCAGTCTGCTTCCATAAAGATTTATGGCTTTAGAATGAACTTGGAAACCTTATGAGCAGTTCTACTGTGTCCTATAGGTTGCTATGAATTGAAATAGACTCGATGGCATTGGGCATATATAAAAATATATATTTATAATTTATCTATATAGTTGAATTTTCTCAAGTTTATGTTCTATTGTATTATTATCCCAAATTTACCAATAAGGAAACCAAGCTCAGAAAAGTTAAGTAACACAGCTGGTGAGTCACAGAGCTGGAGTGTGGATCTAGGTTTTTCTGACTCCAGAGCCTCTATTGATCTTTCTAAATGTGTTTTGACTTCTAAATCACTGTCCAGCAAATGACTTCATTAAAGCTATCTCTAAGTTGGACTCGACTATGTGACTAGAATGTAAAAACCAAACCCACAGCCACTGAATCAATTCCACTTTCTGATGGTGCCATGTGTTACAGAGTAGAATGCTCCATAGTGTTTTCTTTACAAAATCAGATTGCCAGGCCTTTCTTCCATGGTTTGAACCACCAACCTTTGGGTTAGTAGTCAAGCATAAACCATGTACACCACCCAGGGACTTTGACAAGTATACATATACAAGAAATTCACGAACCTTGAACATACTAGGGATTCATAGCACAAATTTAGTGAACCAATGCAAGTGGACAGCATAAGAAATCCAGATGAACACTAGCACACAATCAGATCTATCTTAGCAAACATTGAATGTTTATTTTCAATACCTGTGACTTTACTGTGCATTCTAATAGTTTTCATTCAATATATGAAATTCCTGGAGATTGAGGATGGACATGGAACACAGAAGGCACTGATCCATTACACGTAAGTATAAATTTGGCCATGATTGGCAGTGAATGCCTAATTTCCCAAACATCTCTGATATGAACATTGTTTGTTCATCTATCCTAGCATCCATCCATTTAATAGAAGATGTACCATGTGCCAGCCAACCACTGTAGCCAGAGTTTTTGTATATTAAAATAGAACAAATATTCCAGTAATTTGGAAATCTATACTCACTCCACATGTTAGAAATGATTCCTGTGGAGCAAAAAGTTAGAAATACATGCCCAACCTTAGGACTTTTGTGATATATTGTTTTACATTGTATGCCCATTGTAAATTGCCAATTTTCATTGACAAAATAATTCCACTGAATTATTGGGACTCATTAATATCTTAAGTTTTTAAATTAGTACATTTCTTTAAATGAGTACAACGAAATTTCTTTTAAAATATGAATAAGTCAGCCTTTTCATTCATTGGGGCAGAACTTTCTACCCCTGTGAGATAATTGGTGGAGTTTGCCTTATATTTTATTTATAATTAACAGAGTCCAAGGCTTAGCTTATTCTATGGTATCCTCTTTGGATTACAAAGTACACTGACCAAGGGTCAGAAATGTCAGGGCTGAGAGTTACTTGCTGCCACTCAGGTGTGCTAGGAATCACATGGGCATTAGAAGTGGAGCCATCACTGTTACCTGTGGTGTTGAAGCCAAAAAGAAGAGGACAGGACACAGCAAAGGCCAGTACCCAGACAGCTGTGATCATAAGAGCCACGCGTCGGCAGGAACTCTGTCCTGTGCCATGCTGGTAGTGAACTGGCATGACCACTGCAGTATACCTGAAAAAAGAAAGGGAAAGAGAACAGGCATGATGAAAAGGGATGAGGAACTGTCCAAAAGACAAGTTGAAAGAAGTGGTTACTGGAAAACTAATCATGTTGATCCATATTGTAAGAGAAAAATAATTTAATTGGAGAAAGAGAGAAAAGAGTGTTTGTATGAAAATAATAGAAAGGTAGATGAAGAACTCGTTGGGGTGGGTGAAGGTACCAAGAAAGGTGGAAAGAGTAAAAAAGTTAATCAGCAACACTGGATTACTAAAAAATGTCTTTACTAGCCATGCAGTCACATACCCCATGTGGCCTTCTTTTCTCCCACAGTTCCTAGACAATACAAGCATTCCCTGGTTTACAAATGTCTGACTTATGTACAACCCACAGTTACAAACCAACCCTGATAAAGTCTATTATATTAAAAATTTGAGGTACATATAGTGTTTTGTAATAGTGCCTAAGGCACTTGACTGCTAATCAGAAGGCTGGCGGTTCAAACCCACCAGCCACTCCTTGGAAGGAAGATGGGGCAATCTACTTTCATAGTGATACCACCTCAGAAACCCAAGGAGGGATCACTATGAGTTGGGTCCGACTCGACCGCACATAACAACAACAAGAATAACAAATGGGCAATGCTTTGTGATGCACATCAAAACACTATTACTGTTATTATGCTAAAGATGTTTTAGTGTATCTGGAAGTATTTCTTAAATTTTTTATGTGTAGAAAGGTACACTATATACTAAGACAGACATTTGACTAACTAACATTAGATATGAACCATGCCAAAATTTTCCAACTTATATACAAGTTAGACTTAAAGACAGACTTAGGAACAGAACTCATTCATAATCTGGGGACTTCGTATACTAGAACTTGCTCAAACAGGATGTAATTCTGACTGTCATATGGTAACTATTCCAAGTAGCAGGTTTTAAAAATAGAGCTGAGTAATATCCAGTTAAGGAGTTCTGGTGATGTAGTGGTTAAGGCATTTGGCTGCTAACCAAAAGGTTGGTGGTTCAATCTCACTAGCTGCTCTGTGGAAGAGAAATGAGGCAGTCTGCTTTTGTAAAGATTTACAGCCTTGGAAACCCAATGGGAGTCACTAAGAGCTAGAATCAACTCTGTGGCAGTGAGTTTGTTTCCCTTGGAGTATCCAGTGAGAGCTTAAAGTCCAACTTTCATGCTTTTCAGATGGCCAAAGCAGTTCCTTATTATTGTTGGACACTGCTGGCTTTCATGTGGCAGCTCCTCACAGCTGCATGCTGGACTTACCTGGATGACTGTTCCATAATTATCTCAAACTCAAGCTATCTTAAACAGATCTCCCCAGCTTCTCACTCTTCTTAATTTGGCCCCACTTCCTGACTTTCTTCTTCTCTGGTGGCATAGTGCCTAAGGCATCTGACTGCTAACCAGAAGGTTGCCTTTCAAACCCACAAGCCACTCTGTGGAAGGAAGACTAGGCGATCTATTTCTATAAAGATTTATCACCTCAGTAACCCAATGGGGGTTGCGGTGAGTTGGAATCAACTCGAGAGCAATGAGTTTGTTTTTTTGTTATTGTTTTTGTTGTTGTTCTATAAAATTGCCACAGCCTCCTTGAAGGTCTCCTGGCCTCCATCATTTTGTTCCTCAAATCCATATTCCATTCTACTGCTGCTCTCTCTCTTTCTCTCTTTCTCTCTCTATCTCTCTCTCACTGCCGTTGAGTCAGATCCAACTCATAGCAACCCCTCCTTGGGTTTCGGAGACAGTTTCAAACCCACCAGCCACTCCTTGGAAGGAAGATGGGGCAATCTACTTCCGTAGTGATACTGCCTAGGAAACCCAAGGAGGGGTCGCTATGAGTCGGGGCCAACTCGACGGCATACAACAACACAACAACAACATCTCTATGGAAGTACATTGCCCAGTCTTCCTTCTGAGGAGTGGCTAGTGGGTTTCAACTGCCAGCCTTCTGGTTAACAGTCAAATGCCTTGGGCACTGTGCCATTAGAGCTCCAATTCTGCTGCTAGGATACAAAAAATATTTCATCATGTCACCCCCCAACTCAATACTTTCTGTGGTAGGTAGAATTCCTCTCCAGGTTACAGAGGTCTCTACCTCTAAACTCATACAACGTTTCTGCCAATCAATCACATCACTCTCCTGCATGCAATTATCTTGTTTCATTATTGAACTTGCCTCCTGGCTGGCTAGAGATAGCTTCCATATTATTTAAGGTATTTGATGGTTCAGATCATCTTATAGCCTTAATATTCCCCACAGATCCTTACACAAAGCAGTGAGAAGCTGTGGATTGATTGGCTCATAAATCCTGAAGGCTTCTTTCCCCATAATAGAACAATTCTAATCCAAACTAGGCTTAAAGGGTCTAAAGTGTATAGCTGAGTCCACATGCTCAATTTTTGTCTTGTCAGTGTCCAGCCAGGTTCAAAGCAGAACTTTCCTTAATCCCTCTTGTGCACTTTAAGGCTTGGAGCTGAGGAAGGGAAGGACAGACACTGGCTGGACAGATGGGGAAAATGTTTCATAGATACTCCTCCTGTATATGTCCAGTTCCTATGTGCCATCCACAGCTGGATCATCTGCCTCTTGTATATCTGGATTCAGGGCATTACCATTTGTATTGCAAAAGAGCAGCTTAAAATCAGCTGTAAATGCTGAGATAAAGGTAAACTCTGTGAGACTTGGCTTTGACACCATGATGTGTGAGAGACATGGCTTCTCAAAAGGGAAAAATAGAGATCCTTATTTAATAGTGTCAAATTGAGAGCTTACCACCAATCTCTATGTCAATCCAGTGTCTTTCTCCTGATGTACATATATTGCATCCCATCCCATGAATCTCTTACTCAACCATGAAAGAGCAGGGCAAGGATCAGCTGATGTTTCTCCAAGTGTCTTGCTCTCCTAAGGGTTTTAGAATCTACTCGGGCAGTGGGGTGGAGTTTCAAGTCAAATCTGTTTGTCAGGGCCTGGCTGTGAGTGATGATCCTGAAGGCACCTTGGAGAAGAGGTTGAACCATGAGTCCTATAGCTGCATGGCTAAACAGTGAGCTGAGGGTGGGGGAGTGTGGTAGTTAAGTTGTGTGTCAACTTGGCTGGGCCTAGTTTTGAATGCTTGGGCAACTGGATATAGTTATTCCCCATGATGAGTCTGGTCATCAACTCCATGGTGGAATTTTCTGTGAGCAGCTGAGTAACTGCCTTAGGATGTGGTCTGCTTCCAGTATATAAGACAAAGCTTTGGGAATGGTCTGGAGCTTTTTGGCATGCTTGGAACATGCATTCAGCAGCCTGCCTTGCTGGCCCTGCTAATCTTGGGACTGTCTCTGGACTTGAACTAGTGGACTGCCATGTTGTTTGATAATCTTGGGACTGTGCCATTGTACTTGTTGGCCTTGGGTTTGTCAGCTTCAGTAGCCAGCAGCTGCCTAAGTTATTTACACTGTAAAAAAATAAATCTTTGTTTGTTTCAAGCCATCCACATTTGTAGTATGTCTCTTAGAGCAGTACAAGAGAACCAAAACAGAGAGGAAGCTGTGAACCACTTCCTCCTGCCCAGATCTGCACTTGGACCAAGGCTTTCCATTTATATAATGTCCTTTAATGTGAAAGAACACAACCTTTCTGTACATTTAGTGATGTGCTGATAAATGACCCAAAACTGGATCTCTAAATGAAAGAAGCACTAATTTGTAACATTTGCCAATTTTCATGATGCAAATACTCCCACCACGACCCATTTTAAAGCTACCATCAAAAGTTTAATAACTGACTAAAAAAAGTCCTAAAATTCTCCCAGTCAGTTCTTACTAGCCAGTACTAGCTAACTCCAGCCCATCACTGATAGCTCCATACTTTCCTAAATATGCTTTAATGTTCAGCAACATCTTGGAGGCTGTCATTAACTCAGTGAGGCAGTACGTGTAGAGATTACTGTCTCTGTTTTCTGAAGCAGGCTTCAGAGACACAAGGAAGTTAAGTGATGAACCCGAACCCCACAGAATGTAGTTGCAGAGCCAGATCTCCCACCTCCAAGACCAGTGTCTTTCCTGAGTACACTACTCCCTCCCAAGCACACTGACAAGTCTCTGAGGCCTTTTGGCAACGAGAGCTTTCTTGGGAAAAGTTTCTTTGAGAGGGTGGTTTGTACTTTAAGAGTACTATGGATGCCTGGAACTAAGTTTCCCCAAATAGTTTGATTCTATTAATTGCCTCAGAGTCCTGTTAAAATACTGAGTCTCAGATCATGTCCTTGGAAATTTTGATTAAATACTTCTCTCTGGACATTTTGATTAAATATTTCTGAAGTGGAGCCCAGGAATGTGTATTTTTAACAAGCATCTGTGATTGGACAAATTTGACAAAGTCTGCATTAGGGAAATTTTCTGTGTCAAATGTTATTGTTAATTTGGGTATGAAGTAAGAGAAAAAACTACATTTTCACTGTTACATTAAAACTTTTTTTTTCTTGTTATTTTAAAAACATGATTAAACTTTTAGAACAAATGAAGCCCCCTCAATTTGATTCCAGAGTTTTTTTGCTAGGAAGCTTGCTACAGGTGACTGAGACTGTTCCGGAATTAGCCATTGGAGGGCACCAGAATGCAGCAAGAGCTCTGCTAGCTCGTCTGGGGTGAGAAGTTCATGGCTCACCTCAGGGCTCTCCAGGCCTGTGGGAGGCATAGAAGGAGGGCCGGGGTCCCTCTGGTTCCTGGAGCCCTGCAGAGACCCTGAATTCCCACTATCGTAGACTGCCCAGCCCTGGTTTTCTCTTGAAGGACTGCAGAGGATCACAGGCTGAGGGCTGAGTCAACACATCCTGGGCTTAGAGGGAGAGGCTTGGCACAGGGCCCCCTCTGAGTATCTGCTTGTTAACCCCCACCCCCTTCTCATGCTCTCTGGAGCATTTCAGGGCCCAAGCCTGGCCTGCAGACACAGTGCCCTGCCCTGTTGCCTCAGTGCCAGGCTACCCCACCTCCCCATGGGT